GGAAGAGCAAAAAACAAAAGGTAGAAGCAAATTTTCTGATTTAAAATAATCATTAAACAACAAAAACATGTATTTACTGAACCAGTGATTGTAGGTAACGATGGAAATCAGAGGCGGATAAAATTTAAAGATGATGTACGAGTGGGTAATCACTTATTGGATAATAACAATAGTTATCATAAGTTCAACAAAGGGCAGGTAAAAAGCTTATTCTAAACTGATATAATTAAGAAATTAAGAGTGTTACAAGTTGCAAGTTCAAGTTAATATTACTTTCCGAGTTTCTATTTCCATTTCATTAATGGCAAGTTCTTGAACAATATTTAGATTGAATCGCTATGTATCAGAATGCTCTATTTAGAATATTTAGAATAAGGTTTTTAGTGATATCCTATTATAATGCGTATTAGAAGAAAAAGCGGATTTAAAGGTAATTTTGCATATTTGTAATACATTTATGAGATTAACTGAGAGAGGGCAGAGAATAAACTTAGTCTTAAGAATGTCCAAATATGAAATAAAGAGTATGCTTCAAATTTCTTAATTCATGCAAATGTATTTGAATTTAAAAATTATTTATTTGCAATTTGTCCTACATGGATTACTTTTACATGAATTCAATAGTTGAAACACATTCTTCATTTCATATTCGGACATTTATTGAGCTTTCTAGCTTTTTCTGTATTCTCTCAAAGATGCGCACTCTTTATTCCTATTTTCTCATGCATAAAAGAAATTCATTATTTTATTATCTAGCACATTTTTTTCGAAGTTATAACTTTATATATTTGCCACGTATTCAATTTCGAATACTTTCGCACAAATTAAAAAATTTGAGATACATTCTCGTTTTCAAATTTGGACATTTATTAGATTTACTTGTTTTCTTCGCACTTTTTCGAAGATGCGTTCTCTTTTCACTATAATTGTGTGTACTCACTCAAATTTGTACACGCATTCATCGTATTTTTTTGTTCATATTCTTCAAACGCTTGCACTTGTGCAACGGTATTTAATTGTGTTATTGCTTGTGTGCTTTTCGTGATTAGACGAGGTGTATGGAAAGCATTATCCGTGATTGTTTTTGTGTGGGGCTTCATAAACTCAATCATTTTTCTCCTTGTAGTATTAAGACGAACTGTATTAAGTTTCAGGTTTAATTGTTTTGATGCTGTTTCTGCAAGTTTTTCAGATTTTTACAGTCGAATCTTGGCAGTGGTTTGAGCGAATTGACGTTTTTACTACTTACGATTTTGTAAAATTTAAAAAAATGTTTTTTGGTTGTATCAAGCGATGTCACTATGCATTTGCGTTATCAATGTTTGTCGCTGTTTCAATTGCCAGAAAATGTGAAAAAAGCTTTGAAAATGTAACCATGGTCATTTCACTTTGTGCTTTTCAAAATTAGTTTCAGCAGTTTAAGCAGCAGCTCTCATTCTTCTGTACAAATAAATTTTTTATTAAATACTAAATTATCAAACTTATAAATCATTATGTCTGATGTCATTACAGTTTATAATTTTCGAATTTTATAATGTAACTTCACAAAGTTCTAGCTTCCATTCACAACAAAAATTGATTAGTTTAAAAAGCACTACAGCGAAATATAATGGTAATATAACGAAATAATAGCTAAATGTATTTTACGTGCGCACTGCTGCAGAATTGTGAAAATTGTAATTAAAAAGGTTACTTACTCTAAATGCTCTTCTATGAAAACATCTGAGAAAGACTGTGCTTAGAAAAATACGATGTCATTTTGGCATAATGACTATGTATCAAAACATAGCAAGAATTTTCATTATGTTGCTATTATTGTCAACTAACACATGAAATCTTTTCAATTTAAATTATTTTCGTTTTCAGTTAAGTTTCTGCTGATTTAGATTTCAAATCTTTTGGTGGTATTTGATGAAATTGGCAACAACGTTTTTTCATTTTAGGTTTGGCTTATAAAGGTTTTGAATTTTACAGGTCTAATGTTAATCAATATTCTACAGTGAACTAAATTGGACTAAATAATAGCAGCTACAAACAATTGCTGACTAAAACCACCAGCATTTCGCAAGTGAACCCCAAGATAAAATTTCTATTGTGGTTTTACACTGCAATGCTCAAGCGAATCAGCAGTGACAAAAACTGATCAGAAATCTGTTATAAAGTACAATAATAGCAGCCACAAACAATTCGTCTGCTTGCAAGCCTTGATGGATATTATTTACCTACCGCATTGTGCACTTAATAAGAAATAATCTAAAAAATACTTTATTCGATTAAATTCTTTGCTTTGATAGCAGGGAAGCAAACTATTTTCAAACAAAATCTAAAATGGCATAAATTTGACTTATTGATTTCAATAACCAAATCAAAACGATTACTTGAACATGAGCAGAGGAGAATCTTTGGTTTTCACTCCAACCAACTATAATGGCTAAGGAAACTGTAACGGATACTGGAAACTGATAAATTAAAAATGCATGTGCAAAAAGCAAGGTATTGTCAACAAAAAGTCATATACTTCAGGTGCTCCCTAACAGAGATTTCAGAGCATGACTTTTTGTGATTAAGGAATATCTTTAGCATTTACCAAGTGATAGTTTACTTTTTTGAACATATCGAAATTAATTATAATAGTTACAATTTCGTTCCCTGAAAATGGAATCACATGGAAGCATTTGGTTCTTTGAATAACAGAAATTATTTTCAAAAGAGAAAAGTGAAGACAAGAAACAATAAACTTGTTGCATTGCGTTAGTTAAGATGAGCTTTAATTCTACATATATTGATAGAAATGTTTGCAGTCAAATGCTTCTGTATTTGGTGTTGCTTAAGCTCTCACTATTTTAATACTTAATATGAGAAAATGAATGGATCAAAATTTCATTAGTAAAAATTGGAAACATCAAGACACTTTATAGTAGTTAGGAAATTAAACTGAGAAAACTTTGAAATTAGCATTCAGAATATAGGAAGTTGTTTGGCTTACAACTATGCAGTCACTTGAGTGTAGAGTAAGGCAATGATATAGAAGTTAAGAAGTGTGGGACACTTTAGGAAATATTGAGAATGTTATTTCCAGAAGTCAGCAATAGCAAAGCTTACAGTTGTTTGACTATTCCCCACGATGATGTTTGAAAGTGTCATAGAAAAAGAGAGCTGATACTGAGATCATGATTAAGTTCACAGCTGCAATTGTACCAAGTACCAATGATGACATACAAATAAAATCCTAAAAAAGATTTTTGATAAATCCAGTTTCTTTTCCTTGCAATTTGACCTGGTCCGATTTGGAAATAATAATTAGTGTAACAATACCTGATAAGCGTTGAAAACGTTATCAGACCAACCAACTTTAATAATTTTGTCATTTCGAGGAATGAACCTTGTATCGAGAACATCTCCTGTAACGATGTTAGAAAACAAACTAATGGATGCTTTAATTTTGTACTTACAAGTTGCACTGTAAGAACATTTAATTGTACTAAGATTCTAGCATTAAACATATGTTCAAAAATTGATAAATATGGGCAAAAAGTAATTTCGAGAACTTGTCAAAGCTGGCCAGATAGTTTTATGGAATTAGAAACCATTTGCGAGTATGAATCCCGTCATAAATTGCATGCAAAACAGCTGGAGAGAATTACTTTCGTAAAGTTAGAAATTTTTAATATTTCATAGTGAAGAGAAAACGTTTTAAAAAATACTTTTCTTGCTGGCTGTCGATGCAGTATTCTGTATGAGTGATGTCTGTTGCCGCGAGGTGGAAGAATTATTAGACGATTCTAAATTTTCTCGCTTTCGCCTCGGTGGTTCTGAGCATGTTGGAATCTGTAAATGCATCTAGAATTAAACTTTCCCATCAAAACAATGTCGAACTTTTGTTGATTACATCTGTGATGAGCCGTTTAATGATAATACTCAAAAGTATAATTAAATTCGATATTACAATCAATAGAAAAGTTTTCACAGGTATATGATTCTAGTGGATCTTGAGAATCAGTTGAGATGAAATGTAATTAACATTTTATAGTTCCTTTATTTCCAGATATTTGCATTACATATATCGCAATCCCGATATATGTGATATATGTTTTTTGAAATTGTATGAAAATAATACATTTGCACAGAAGTTTGTAAAAATAAGAAAGCGTAAGTAGGATCTTGAGCAATATTCTGGTTATTAACATACATTGCAGTATTCCTGATCCGGTTCTTTGATAGCCAATGATATTTGGCAGTCAAAGAACAAACTTTGTCGATCAGCATACTTGTAAGCATGAGCTTCTTTGCCAGCCATTAAATCTGACACATATTCCAAATTTTGCAATAAATGCTTGTCTCTTGCACATCTAGAATGAATCAAATAATTATTAATTATTTGTTTCATAAGTTAAAATAACTGCTAAATTTCTGCAGTATTACTTCAATCTTTAAATAATTAATAATTAATTACAAATGTAAATAATAAATATATAATCAATAAAGAGGGTAACCCTTGTTCATCAATAAGTTGAACTCGATCACCATTGCCATCGTCGACAAAGCAGCTATGTACCACCATGCAAAACTGATTCTCTACATTTGTTTCGCATGTCCATTTATGATATACCTAAATTCATAGTGAACAATGAAAGAGTATTTGTGCTTACTACAAAGTATTTTTTTATCACTTTCAAAAACCACTTCCAGTCTCTATTTTAGTACGTCCGTAACAACAGTGAGCAAATCATTTAAAATATTGCAAATGACTTGTCAAAGTGAAACTGAAATAATTTTGTATTTTCAAGTGGACAAAGATGAAACCAAGAAAACGGATAGTACTTTTGTGGCGGTTTTTCATATAATTACCATTTGTCCGATGACTGCGTAGGATACTGGTGGTCCAGTTGGTGATCCGTCAAGAACTTCGTACTTACACACAGGCATCAGAACTTGTTCCGCTTGCAAGGAAGGTGGATTCATTCTGAGTAATTTTGAAATTAATAAAAAATCACATGTTTTATACAAATGTTTGATTAAATTCAAAATTCAATATGTGTCTAAAAAAGTAATGTGAGTATTTTACTTCAAAAAAGTCTAACTTATTTTTACTTTTCTTTTTCTAAGTTTGTTTTGCTAACTACAAGGGTAAAGTTGAATCTAGTATAGTTGAATCTAGTAATTATGCGCAAACGTACTGGACTTGAACTCTTCTTTCTAAAATTTTTTCCATTTCCATATAAAAGCACTGTACCACGTAAATACGATCAATTTTGGTAAGAAACTCAGGATGAAATGCAACATATAGAGATGTTGTCAAATACATTCCACGTGGATCACTCTGAATCACATCAAAAACTGAAGTGTCAAATAGAAAGGTTTTTAAATAATTAAAAATTATGTATAAAATGATTAGTTTTTGATAAAATTCGTTTTCTGATTTAGATCTGATAAACAAGAAAAATGAAGCATTTGGCTTAGGTGAGCTTTGCGAATCATATTTGATATTTTTAAACATATACCGATCTTTTTCTTTCAATTTCACAAGTTTTAAATCCAATTTTGATGGAAGCATTTCGGCTGTGATTATTCATATTTTTAGTACCAAATGAACGACATGATGGGTCTGCTAAATGATCTTGTACAAATATCAATCCCTCAAATGTATTTCGTGTTTCAAACTGCATCTAAACTTTTATTGACCTTTAACAATAAAAGTTAGCAACACTATAAGTGTAATGAACATGAATAAAGTTTGTTGACATTTATTATGCAAGCATTTCTGTCCTACAGATATAAACTAATCATCTTTGGCACGGCAGTTAAATTTTTATTATTTAGGATAAAAGTACACTTGATCTATCACAGCATGTTTTTCCAGAAAACTACGAGTCCCTGAACTTTAACTCACTTCAGTCTTATACGAAAGTTAAGTGCAGCTGACTACTTTCTATATCTTTTAAACTTTTATATATTGCAATCTAAATTTAGTTTTGCAGCACAGGATACCAATGTTTAATTAAATCACTTTTCTGAAAGTGAATTCGGGCTTAAACTGCGTGACTTTTTTGCTCTGACTTTAGCTAGAAAAGTGTTGTCTAAAATACAATTATATTGAATATACAGTTGAGTATACTCAAGATAGAGAATTACTTTAAAAATATTTAAAAGATAAAGAAATATTATCATTCATTTTTGCTTGCTGATATTTCAAAAAATTGTATGATGGGAAATTTTGTTTTAATTTGATAATTTTACGTCTTACTTCAATATAATTATCAGCACAATGTACATAAGGATCACCAAGAATGTCATTATCCAAAAGATTGCTTCCAACGTTGTTCTGAAAGTTTTGTCAGCGTTTGGATTTACACGTTTAGCAATAAAAATGTACTAAGACACATGTGATGAAATAATTAAAAATGAAAAGATTAAATGAGGTAAAAAATTTTGCATTATTTTCAATAACTAATTTTTAACTCTTCCGTTTGACATATAAAAATTGGTGTATCTGATGCTCAAAATTATTCAAAAATAACTGTAAGTATAAAATACACATAAAAAACATCTTTGAAAAGCATTTTTATATTTTTTGTACAATTAGATTCTTTTATCTGCTGAAAAATATAGTAATTTATCTAAACTTATTGTTTAAAACTTGTAGAAAACGAGTAGCAGTCATTAACATTGTTGGTTTTCCATGAACTTAGAAAGTAATTTAGCAAAGAAGATGATGATTTAAAATCATTGATATCAAAATCGATAAAATTGGGCATGATGATATTTGTGATCAGTTTTCACTACATTATTTTTAAGAACATTATTAAATCGGTTCTTCTTCTTATTACCTTAATTTTAATGTAGAGACCTAATTAAATTTAACACCAATAATTAATTCTATGCAATATTTTCAATGAATATGGCTGCAAAAATTTGTTAAACTGATTCTATTATATAACTATTTCAATTGTTATCCAGTATTATATGAGTAACTAAATTGAGCTTTTTGCTAAAATTTGTTTATTATTCTTGATATGTATGAAAAATTTTATTCATGACTATATCACTTGCTACTGATGATGTTATCCTTCCAACATCATCGTTAGTTTTCGATATCTCTGTACTTCTTTTCTCCTACTTCTATCTTTCTTGTTCAGTGTAAAGGTAAATAGATCAATGCAGTGAACATAATTGATATCAAATGTGAATAGCCGTAGTGATTCTGGTGTAATTCAAAGTTTCTCATAAAAATAGAAACAGTAGAACTAAATTTTACTTTTTCTTACAATTATTTTACATTTATCAAGCAAAATTTTTTTGTTATTACTTTTAATTCCAAATGCATTTCTTGTAAAAATGATTTATCCAAAAATAAAATTAGAGTAAGCAACTATTTGGCAGATGAAAAAGAAACAGTAGCAGGGGCTTCTGATAACTTCATCAATTACCTCTATTTTTTTTTCATATAAAAATATAAGTGAAACTTGCCATTAATGCCATAAAAAAGACGAAACCGAATGGTATGTGCAAAGACCGCTGACTGACCTTCTTCTTTAGAAAGAACATGACATTCACCGATGATTAAATTTGAATAAATTCACAGATTTTCACCATAAAATAAAGTAGCGGAATTAAAAATGCAGCTGAAAAAGTAATTTGTAAAATTAACGGAAATAACTATGTTTCATGTTTGAAATTTGGAATAAGTGTTTGCTGCATTATGTTTAACGCTTAATTATCAATAAATCATTTCTGTTATATCTTAATAAATTTTTAGCTTATATAAAACTTTATTTATTTGTAACGAATGGAACTATCATTTTACAAATAGTTTCACAATGTCTAGGAACTAATATATAACTGATTAGTCATTTAGTTTTTCACTTTCAATGTTCTATGATTTCGATTACAAATTTGAAAGTTTCTTGATTTTTTGAACTATCTTTATTATTTTTCTTTGTATTTCTCTCTTGCTTTCTTGCCAGTAATGGTTACTACAGCAATAATGATTACTAAAAGCACTATGACTGTTCTTTTATCATCTTCAGAATTCATTTCGAAAATTTATTAAATTCAACTAAATACTCTTCATTTGAATTCATGAATAGAAGGATTCACTTGGATCATCTCTGATTTTGTTATAAATAGTCCTGGTAAGATACAAATTTGTTGGACTTATGTCAGTAATTTTTTCCTAGAATTTACAAACTAATTTCATTCCTCATTGTAATTTAGTTTGCGCCAATTTAAAAGTAAATAAGAAATTGGATGAATAGAAATTAAAAATTAGTTGTTAAAAGTTGTCAAGGACTGAGTTTTTTGAATAATCAGTTTTCAAGCAATGTTCACTTCTATTAATCGTTTATTACCCCCAATTTTTCGTTAATAATCATTTTCGTAATTCTTTTTATGAATAAGAAAAATGCATGCTGTTATTATTTTTAATTCACAGTAAGACTGTAAAAAATTTCAATTAAAAAAGAATAATGGATGAGTTATTCACAAATTTTCAATTTTCATGTATAGATAAAAACTAGATTGATTTCAACATCTCAATATACTTAATATAAAGATGCAAGACTTAGTAAGATAATACTATTTCCAATATACTTATTATAAAATTTTCTGGCCAGATAAATAAACTTTTTCTGGACTTCAGTTTCTTCAAGCGATAAATACCAATTTACTAAACCAGAACAAAAAATGATTTATAGTAAAGAGAATAAAACTCTAAGATATAATCATCCTTCAAATAATTATGTCTAATATTCGCTTTAAAAAATTTGCTGTGATGATTCTTTGACATTGCAAACATTCCATGCAGAGTTTTTAGTGTAATAGACTACAGATAACGGTATTTCTGTTTATCAACAGTTTTTGTAATGAATTTTGATCATAATAAGCGTCAAAATCAACTATTATCCTTGTTTGAAACGATTACGTTAAATAGTAATATACTACTACCAAAAGTGAAAAATTAGTTTTCCAGACCAGTAAATTCCATTGATCTTTCCAAGCGTAATAATTAAAAAAGTACAACAGTTGCTTTTGACGTTTTAAAATCATCAGTAAAAATGTAATAATTTTCAATTTTATTACAAATAAAAAAAGTTAAATGTATGAATGAAATAAGAAAATGGAAGTAGACGAACACGAACGAATGGCACATGAGTACTAATACTGATACATCAATACCGGTAGTTCTTATACACAACAATTTATTTGTTATTTCTTAAAAAAAGAAAATGAAAAGAAGCAATATAATAAAAATGAAAATAAAATTTCACTCGTTTTTTGTTTTGTTATACACCAAAAAACTGAGAACAAATGTGAAATACAACGTAGTGTTATTATCTGTCTGTGCATGACACGTATTTCTAAAAAGAATTTTTTCACGCCATTATTTGATCAATTGGCACTGATATATGTTAATTGGAATCCCAGAAACGGATACTGGAGTGGACTTGTGTGATTACTTTTCTCTTGTTTTGCCTTTTGATCAAAATGAACAAAAATGCTGTCACTGCCACATATTTGAATAACACTTTTTTATCTCACTTTTATTTTCACATTTGTCCTTCAAATTAATCTTAGCGTTCATCCAAGTGAAAATCTTTGTGTTCTACACTTTACTTCAGAGAAAATTCAATTTCATTAATTGTAATGAAAAAATTAGAATTCAAATTCTTGAGGTACACACATTAAATATTTAATTATTTGTTTCAACTTTACGCTTTAAAGTTTTATTATAGATTTAGCACAATTTTTTAAAAGATTAGAGGACAATATAAAAATTTTAAATTACTATCACACTTCTGAATTCTAGAGAACTACAAGAATCGACCAAGAAATATTAATTAATGTATAGTAAATCAAGCAAAGATGCAGTGAAATTCAGTATGTAAAAATGAGTGATTTAGAACTCTGGTATTTTTCGATAATAGACTTCATTTCTTATCGATAATCATATTTGATGACTATTCAAACAAGCTCTTAATTCAAAACATTCCTGTATATGGTTAAAGAAAAAAAGAACGAATGAGCTGAAAATGATGCATAGATTGGTGAATTTTGAATGTTGTATAATTTCATGACTCGTTCATAGTTATTTATTTACCTAATAAAACCTTGCTATTTGTTCAACTAATAAGAGGCACCAAAGAAAATAATAAAATTGTAATGAAAATTGATGGCGATAATGACAAACATTTGATTTAGATGTGAAAAATATACTAATCAATTTAATTATAAATCTATATAAAATCGTTTCAAGATGAAGATCGAAAAGGTGGAGCAATCACAAGAAAAGGAAATCCTATTAATGAGAACAGGATATCCATTAAGTTGCGCGCAAACTTGAATACTTTGTTTAAAAGCAGCAACAAAAATTAAAAATAAAACAGGTGCAAAGTTAACGAATTAAATGAATAAATAACAAACAAATCTCCCTCCTTTGTTTTCAGAGCAGAAAATTTTTCTCTTTTTTTGATTTTTCCATTTGTCCCTTTTAAGAGAGATATATTATTTACAGAGCCATATTAAAAACAATTTCTGGCAGAAATATGCTTTGATAATGAAGGTTATTTCCTTTAGAATAAGAAAAGAAGAAGTAAGATTCGTAAGAACGAAGTGTTACAATTTCCCCTTTCACGATTTTTGATTACTTTTCCAGATATTATTAAACATT